GCCCAGGCCGGCACCGGAGCGGGCCGCGCAGCCCGCGGCGGCCCCCGGCGAAGCTTCCCTCCTACGGCTGCGTTGCACAAAAGCCCGCCCTTCTCTGTCGTAGGGTGGAAGCGGCAGCCGGTTTCCAGCAGCGATGGCTGACCCCCGGGCCCCACAGCAGAACGGCAGGCGGGGGGGGAGGTGAGGCCGCCGCCATCACCAGGCCGCCGTTCCGCCGCGGTGGCTGCAGCAGTGAAAGTGGCCCCCGCCGCCCCGTCGCGTCTCGGCCTTGAACCGCAGAGGTGGTGGGGGGAGTCCCTCACGGCACGACTCGACTGGTCTGAAAACGGGGGGGCTTCGACAAAGGGGCTTCCTTTTCTGGAGCCTCTAAGGGCCCTGCGGACCCGCCGACAGCCCCCCCAAAAGACTCAGCCCTACTCTAAGACTTAGTAGCGTCCTGTTTGTTGGTTTTCAGGATCACGAAAGGCTGAAACGGTGTCAGACACCAATGATTGTTCGTCTAGGCAAGAATTAATCAGCAAGAGCTTGACGTGGTGGGGAGATCACCTTTTCCGTGCTGCAATGCCAGAGGAACATTTGTTTGTGCCTACAACTTCGGTTTCTCTGCCGCCTGGTTACAGCCACAGTACACCTGGCATAGCACCACGAAGGAAATACATAAATTAAAGTGGGCATAAGCTCAGCAGTCTGTTTCCCTTTAATTCAGTACAAGTCATAAAGAAACATGTCTAAGCTTTTACGTGCTTGTCTTCAACAGCATAAGCTTGAAACCCTTGTCTCTAGCTCATGACCTGTCCCTAATTTCATCTACATTACTTTTATAGTCTTCCTAATCATCTTTAAAAAAATAGTTGATGTTTTGATGTCTTAGTTCTCTTTCCTTCTTTGATTGAACAGCAATGGAAAATGGTTGTAAACAAAAACTTTTGAGTAGGTATATTTTTTTCACCTGCTCATGTTCTCAGAATGGCAAACCAAGGCATTACTTTTCCCTTTCCTGTTCTGTTGCACAGTGATGTTGTGGTAACAGCAATAAATAAATAAAGCAACTTTACTCCACCTTCACAAGTAGCTGAATTTTCAAAGGGGCAAAGTGATCTTCCTTTTTACAGGACAAAGCACTACGAATAATGTAAAGCATAATGTATATAGCAGAAGGGAAAGGATGGCATCAGACCTTGAGGTTCCCTCTTACACCAAAAGCACCCCAGGGTACATTTAATGGCCAACAACTCTTGATGACATCTCAGCATTTCTGGTTAGCATTGGCTGATCTGACTGCTCGAGATGGTGAGCTGCAGGCACTGGGTGTCATGTTTGCAAACTATTTTGGTCATTTTTAGCAGGTATGTCCCATCTTTCCTCATTTGCCAGGCCTTCTTGCTGTGCAGCGGGAGAAGGGCTCTGGGACTATCTGCGACTAAATCTTGCCCTTCCCCGAAGTAGGAGAGCAGTATTTTGCATTTGGAAATCTGGATTTTCATGTAAAAAGTTCTGAGATATATTGTGATAGAAGACAATTTAAAAAATGATATTATAATGTGAATAATGGCATGAATCGAGAAGTGATACTTATTATGAACTAGTTAAGGGTAATGTGGAATTCAGCTTTCCCTTCTGGGCTCTGGCCTTTGACCCCGGCCACACTTATAGCGTCATTTTATATAGTTCAAGGAGGAAGACCTGCAGTTAACATGAAACTTGGACTTTTAGCTAAAAAAAGAAAAACGCTGTCACTGTAACTACATGACAGCTAAACACTACTGAAAAATAAGCTGAGCAGACTTCAATTTTAAGTAACAGAAATTCACTCATAGGACATATACATTTTCCGCATTTAAGTAAGCTACATTGTGGCCTGGCTGGGTGCTGGGATAATCGCCACGTCAAATTGTGCAGAGCTGGCAGTACCAGAGCACTTTCATTTTCAGCTGTATTATTAGTTAAAAGAGCTGCAGGAGGTGAATGCTGCCAGATTCCTGTGAAGCAGTCAGGGTACGGGTAGAAATCTGGAGATTAATTCCCAGCCCACATGTCAGCAGCTGCTTGGGGCAGACGAGGAGCAGGTGCTGCAGAGCTCTTGCACAGTCAGTGTTGCCAGTCCAGAGTGGCGGCCTCCCTCCTCTTCTTGCCTCTGGTCAAAAATGCCCTTTGGATTTGTGTTTTCATCTGCTTTTTGTTTAGACTTTTGCATGGATAAGCCATTTTGTGCTAGGACTTGTGTTTTTTTAAAATCAAATGCCAAATATAGTAGCAAAATTGCAGTCAAATCCTACACGCTGGCAGCACTTCATGTAGCTTGTGTATCCTGTCATATGATCTAGCTTGGTGAAAAAATAAACATGCTCAGCTGAAGCATATAGAAACTGAAAGTTTGCCTGAACATTGCTGCAACAAAGATTTTGTTATTTAATATCACACTGAATCCTTGCAGAAAGATTTTGCACAACTTCACCAAATCGGTTGCAAGATAGCAAGAATCATCAGTTTTGACAACTCAAAATATTAAAAATTGTGTGGCCTTAGTAAATGTTTTACATTGAAGTAAGGCTTCAGTCTGACAAAAAAAAAATCACTAATAATTTCTATTTTTTTTTTTTAATTTCTAGTTTCCAAGAAGGTGTTTTTGCTCATGTTTCTATGTACTTTTCTGCAGTTGTGGTATACTGATTTTATTTTTTTCTTTTGGATGAAAACAGGCTCTGATACAGCCACCTAGCTTCAGAGGAAAGGAGCATATAGGCCATCTGTTGCAAAAAATGTAACAAAGTTAATGACAATCACAAGGTTTGATAAAATGCATAATTCTTCAATTGCAGCCATCTCCTCTGTGAAAGAAAGGCCAAATCAGAGTAAATATATGGGCAGAATTCCACTGGACAATTGCAGCCTATGGATATACATTTCTAAGCTGATTACCAGAGGCTTACTTTATAGCTAATGGAGAGAACCAGGAGCTTTTACAGCAGAGTTCATCTTGCCTGGAACAGATGTTAGCTGTAGATCCAACAAATCGTGCTTTGAAAGTTCCTGGATTTCTCCATTAGCTGCAAAGGGGTATCAGGCCAAGTCATCTATGTTCTAGACTGTCCTAGTGAGGTATTTTCACGTGTATGTGTAGCCGCATCTGATACATATAGCTCTCTATATCTGACACAAATGTATCATGCATTTCCCCTCAGTTTAAAAGAATTACAAAGGTCTCAGTCGATAGAGCCTCTTATTTTTAACAGCAAGACTCTTGATGAACTGACTTTAAAGGTCCAAGAGGGGAGGGAGCTCAGCGGGTAGGAATGGGAATCACAGAGTTCAGCATGAGGAGTTGGGGGATGGACTCCAGCAGGAGCCCCTGAAGAGGGAGTTACTCCCAAAACCTCCCCTTTCTCTTGGATGCAGGACTCCTGTGTGACACAGGGGCTGTTGTTGCACTTGGGTCTGATGTACCAGTGTATATTCTGGCAGATCTCAGGGAATTAAGCTAGGTAATGGGACACTGAATTATTATTTATTTCTCTGTGCAGGTCATATAATTGTGTGATGTAAGGTACATTTCAACAGTGTATACTATACATTAAGTGATTACCTGAAGTCAGTTCAGAGTGGGGTTTGTATGCTTTGTAGGCTGTCTCATAAACTCAGCTACAAATAGTTTCTAGTGAAGGTTTGAGATCATAAAAGCTCATGAAAATACAATAGTTCTTTGTATAAAGCATTCACACCCTGCTTTCACCAATTCACAAAATGTAGAGCAGTTTGCTTCATTTAGAGTGCTACCCTTTCAATACAGACAGTTGGCTGCAGAAATAAACTCTAATGGAATTAAGGAATCTAATATTAATATGCCTATATTATCAGCGGGAACAGATATGACTCACTTGGAAGAGAAATCATTATTGTGCTCATTGGTGACTAACACAGTCTCAGCTTTTAAAATCCTTTATGTGACTTCAGACCTGGTAGATCTGGATTCAACAAGTGCACCTCCTCCTCACTGATAAAAACAAGCACGGCATTGTGTAACCAATGCCCTGTAGCAATTGCACAGATGCATGGTGCTTCTCAAGAAAGCGATTACTGTCTTTTCTTCAAGCTTAGTTCTAAAGCAACCATCTCACAAAACGGCTGGCTTTGCCAGCTGACTTTTAATTAGTGTTATTTCAGAAATGGAAGAAAGAGAATGAGGGAAGAAGTTACCATATTGCTGTAACTGCCCAAGCGAGCAAGTGCCTGATCTGGACCACCAGCGCAGAGTTTGTGGAACATCTTGCAGTAGTCCACACTATGTCAAGTCAAAATAAAGGTACTTATTTTTCACTTCCCCCCCCGCCCCGAAGAATGGGAAGAGTCACGCCAGTCACTTGACTCACTCCCCTCTGGCATCATCGTTGTAATAATTCAGATGGTTTCCTGGTTCAGAAGAAATGCACAAAGGCACAAGTCAAAGCTGAAGCTGCTCTCCGAGTAACAGCTGCTCATGACTCTGGACTTCCCTGATCTAGTTACGCTATCTTTAGCAATGACAGACAATGACAGAAATTTTCTTTACCGTGCAAATTGCAGAGTGAGCTAGATAGATGGAGAGTAGTTATGAACTACTCTGGTTAAAAATTATTTTGCTCCTGTGCCACTATTTAGGGAGAAAATACCAGACATAGCCTTTGACTCATGCAGCCAGTTTTTCACGATTCTCCCTCTTCAGAGCTTCAGGCCCCAGATTTTCTTTTTGTCACTTTTACCTTATGTGAGTTGCTCCCCATGTCCCTTCACTTTAACTTACTCCCATAAGCTTCCTTCTGGGAAGGGAGCATCTGTCTTCACAATTACACGGCAGCCAGAAGGAAAGCAGTCAGGATTACACCTGTTGGACT